TGTTATTCCGCTGCAAAAATTACAACAAAAAAAAAAACAAACGAAAAACTGAACATGAAAATAGAAAAAAAAGAAGAAAAAATCAAAAATGAAAATGGAAAAAGTAAAAATTCCGCTATTTTTCATCGAAAATCTGATTCAGAAAAAGCCAGCGTAAAATAAATGGGTGAAAATCGTATATTGTCCATCGATTTGTTCGACCCGTTCCATCGAATGAGTGATGTTGCTTTGTTCTAGCCGAAACAAAAAGATAACAAAAAAAAAACGAGGCGAACGAGTAATAATGCGGCCGTTCTACGAAAATGATGAAACTTGAAGAAGATCATTTTTATTTAATGATTATTTTGTGTTTCGAGTCTGTTGTTTTTGTTTGAAACTCCCTTTTTTTGTTTATTATTTTTTCCTCTGCGATTCTGGTGTGTCTGTGTAATACACACTGTGTATAATTCATTGCTCCCGTGCCTTGCGAGATATTTTCCAGTGTTGGATTTTTTGTTGTTGTTCTGTCGTGGTTTTTACGGCTTTTGCTCTCGTCTCCGGCTCGGGCTGACAGTGACGAAAAGGCCAACACATACACAGAAGAAGAAAAAACTAAAAAAGAAATGACACAGTGCGCATCACGTCGGATGTAAGCCTTTGAAATATGCAGTTGGCGCGTAAATAAATGAATCTTCTCAACAGTTTTTTTTTCTTCTGTGCTTTCGTTACCATCTCCCATCTCGTTCCATTCTCCCTTTGTAAAACATACAGAATGGGAAAAAAAAAATTGTCGTTTTCTGTTCAATGATCGCGTAATAAAATATCTATCTCATTCGCAAACAGTCTCAACCATGTATTACGCATTTTCAATGCTATGCCATTTTTATTCATTGTATAAATCATTCGGTTGTCGGTTTTTTTTTCTCGTTTCGTTGTTGTTGCTGCTACTTCGTTTGGTTTTCTATGCCCTTTCCAGTTTCAATTGCGTATTTCTTATCTCTTTGGATTAGTGTGACGAAAGTTTTATACGCTCTGAGTAATTCTCTTGTCATTTTTACACCCATTTTCACCATATAAATTGGACAACATTTTTAACACAAATTCGATTTTAATCCGGAAAATGCCAAATGAACAGTTTCGAATGCACCGAAGTATGATCGACTGACAGTTTTGGAACGCGTTCCGAAGTCGCGAATTTTTTTTTTCGGTTGGAAATGACTTTGAGATTGATGGATCCGAAATGATTTTGATATCAATGGATGCTTGGAAACAATGTGACGGAAAATTTTAATGAAAAAATGCCGAACCAAATCGAAAAAAAGCCAAAAAAGACACACGGAAACGAAATTGCAGAAAAAATGATAAAATGGAATGAAAAAATGCGGGTCAATTTAAATGTTACTCTCGAAATTAATGGAAAATTGTGCAATTTTTTTGTTCCGACGAAGCCATTTCAATACTGTTTCTGGGCCTACAATGGTTAAAAAAAAAATCGTTTTAACCACAGTTGTTTGTTGAAAATGTTCAGCCTAGAACGGAGAATGAGCGTTTCACTACAAATGAACCGAAAGAAAATAAACAATGAAAAACTGTGTGCGAGCACGGCCATGATTTGTTCTATGAAAAGGGCATTTTCTGAAGCAATTTCAATTAGTTGGAAAAACAAAATGTAAAAAGGATAGTTAAAAAAAAGTCAATTGAAGGCAATAAGTCCAAAGCCGTTTTCCGAAGAAAAAAGAACGTTTCGTTTGCCGGTTTGTAATCGTGCAGCGTGTGTCGATGCGATGTTGAACATATGGTCGTTCAAGTTCGAACAATGGTTAAAACAGTGCGCCTGCGAAGGAAATACGCTAAATAAGCTGTTTAAAGGCTCGTGTGAAAATAGCCGAAACAAAAACAATTGTCCTCGGCTCTATTTCTCTCTCTCTCTCTCTCTCTCCTATTTTTCCGTTCCTAACTGACTGTGTTAGTACTTGGCTCCATCTCTGGCATTGTTATGCATATTACTCGCATATATTGCCCATTGGTTGCGAGAGGAAAAAATTACCATTTCAATGGAATCGATGTTCGTCGAAAATGTTCAAAAACTGAGAATGAGAGTGAAGAAAGGGCCCAGTTTTTATTAGGCTTGAGTACAACCATATGTGTGCAAAAAGGAATCAATTGCTCTAGCGCCTCGTTTTGTCTCTCGGACGATGTTCGACTAAGAACACGTACTGCTCCTTTTTCAAATTTGTCTCGTGCTGATCCTTATGCCTGTGAGTATGCGTTGCCGAATTTCGGCAACCGAAGGAAGAATTTGCAACGCTACATTAATAACGCCCGGAATAATTTGACCATCAATTTTTTTATGCCCATCGTTTTAGCAACGCAGTCTTGGGCATTGTTCGTTTTTTTATGCCTATCAGTTGTTCAAATTTTGGAAACAACGATGTTTTGGTTTTTTTTTTTCACGGAAAAATGAACTTTGCCCATTGCTTTGGACCAACATCATTCGTTGAGTGAGCAAAAAAAAATGAATTTCATTTTGTTTTTTTTCGAATCCTCCATTTTCTGGAGACATTCCATTTCGAATTGGTTCCCGTTGTTTCTTTTAAGTAAAATTTTCGCTCTCTACCTCTTTCTACCTCGCTCTGTCTGTCTCTGTCTCTCTTTCTATCTCTCTATTCCATTCTACCTCGTTCTTTCCATCTTTTCCTTCCCTCTCGCGCCCTCCAAATACCTCATTCCATGTAGGCACATTTTTTGCGCCGTCTCTTTTCACGTTCGCGTACCGTCATTTGCACTGCAACTCGAAACCATAAAATGGTGCTTGCACGCAATTAAAAAAGGCAGAAAGAGGAAACATCCATAATTATGGTTTTCATTTTATATTTCATTCTTTTTTTTTCCACTCGTTTCGCTTTATTTTTGTCATCGTTTGAGAAATGACAAAAATCATTTTAATTTCATTCGTTTTATGCAAAGAGCAGCATGAAATGCACACCGATGCACCAATGCATACTATCCAGTGCAAAGAGTGACACAAAAAGATGACATGGTATGCATTGGTTTAAAACTGAATGCAAAATTCTTTGGCAATGTATCTTTGCCACCGTTCGGACCGAGTTCAGCGTTGTGGAACAATGACAGAGTCTATGGAAAATAGTTGATTGCATGATTTTCCAAGGGGCTTTTATCTCTATTCGCCAATACAAATTTATATGCAAAATAGTTAAAATATACGGGGTTGTCTATGAAATATGCACAAAATATACGGCAATTATACGCGGTTATACGTATTTGTATGAAACATTCGTCTGGAGTTAGAAGCCCCTAGTGATTTTCTCGATGTTTTGTGTTTACAAATGCGTAAACAAAGAAAAAAACACCAACCAAAAACCGAGCTGCGTTGTTGCCGGGATGAAAATCGGTGGAAAATTCACATGGATTTGTTTATCATCTTTGATTACACATTAGTCACACAGAGAGAATGTTGTGTATCGTCATTCGAAGAACCGTTGGCCCTCATCGACTCATGAGACATCAAAATAACTGGCTCGTATTAACATCATGAGGAGGAATATAAAACAACGCGCTCAATAAAACCGAGCACATAAAAACGTAGAAATAACAACAACAGCAACAGAGCAGGAGAGAGAAAAAAAAAACGATACAAAACTTTTTAAATATACAAAAAGCGAAAACGAATAACAACAACAACAGCTCGGGAAAAAAAACTGTTTGGAGATCAGAGAGCAAGCGAGTGAATGAGAACGAACATGAGAAAAACGCAGTTTGAGTGAGCAAGAGAAAAGCGTGAACGAGAAAAATGAACTAGTATTGTGGTCGGCGCAAGGAAACATGACAGTAGTTGAAGATGCTCTCTGTTTGGAAAAAAAAAAGATTCAAGGCGAAACCAAACAGCACAATGCTCGTGAGAGGAGAGAGAGAGAGAAAGAAACACACACCGAAACGCCAAACACATTAATAAAAAAATTTAATAGAACATCTGCTGGTGTTTCAGTGAATCAACATATCGTCGTAATTTTTTTTGTTTTATTCTGTTGTTGTTTTTCCCTCTCTCTATCTCTCTCTCTCTCTCTCTCTCTCTCTCTCTCTATCTATCTCTCTCCCTCTCTCGTTGTTTTTACTGTTTATTTACATACTAAAGACCGAAGAAAAAAAAGGTTATGTGTTGCGTTTGGATTTTTCACTTGTGTGTTGTTTTCCGTCTCATTTCGGAATTCTGTTAGTGTGAGCGCATGGGTGCGTGCGCGCGCGAACCAGCGTTACTGCATTCGCGGTGCTGTCATCTCTTTCGAACCGAATCGAACGACAAATTAAATGATACATTTTCGGATTCCCACAGAAAAGCAGAGCCGACAATTGAATTTCATATGAAAATCTTCACGCACGCACACAGCAACACACTTTTTTTCTACTCACTCGACCGCTGCTCGGCGGAACAAGATACATTTTGCAAGGCATTTTAAAGCTTACATGAGCAATGAAACATTTCCCCGAAACAACAAACGAAGATGCCAAACAAAAAGCCGAAGAGAAAAAAACGAAGAAAAAAAACTGACGTCGACGTTGAGATCTATGGTCGAAATGCCAAACATTAGAGATCAATTGTGAAAAGAAATGTATGAACAACGTAATTGAGTTTTGTGGCATTTGTCTCTATCGAAGCAAACAAAAAAAAAACCAACAACAAACGTTCAGGGGTGTAACATTGAAGTATTAAAAATAACTTCTCAACCGTCGTACCAATCCATAATTCAAAGAGTTTGCAAAACTTTGTTGACTAATCGTTATCGCGGCGACAAATCAATTAAGTCCATTTCTTTTGTTGATAAAAATCGACTTGAAAAATGGCATTTACTGCGCATTTCAGTATCGCATGTAACTGGGAATGTCGAAGAGAGATGGAGAGGGAGAGAGAAAAAAGAGAGAAAACTTTAGAAAGAGCGAGAATGAGCAAAAAAGAACGACCAAAGTATCAAAACTTTTGATACGTCTTCAACATGGGCTGATTCTTTCGTTAGTTTTATTCTCAATTGAAAGAAATAAAACTCAACATCGATTACAGGCGAAAAACTTTGTGATCGATGGGTGATTTTTATTGAGAAAACCGACTTTTTCATCATTTCATCGAGAAAATCAAAGACTTTTACCAAAAACGAATTTTATTCGAAGCGAAAACATTTTCTGAACGTGTTTCTTTGCATTCTTATCATGCTTTTGCTCGTCTGAGATCAATAGATTATATCTTTTATCGGATGCTTGAACACCTTTCGAAATTGTCTACAGCAAAGTAAAGACACGACGACCAAAAGTACGGTACTACCCAAATTCTCGTCGTATATTTCGACATGTATTTGTGCGATTTATCTTATCGATGCGTTTGTATTATTTTTATCAATACGTTGGTTTTTTTTTTACTTCATTCCATTTATACCGAATACAGGCGAGAGTATTTATCTCGATCTCATTGTGAGCTGATAACAAACATGAAAAAATACGTACTGTAAGTTGAATTAATAATAGTAATTGAAGTAGAGAAATAGCGATATGACTGCAACAACGGCGATGACGACGACGTTGAATCTTCCTCACTGTGTTTGTGTGAGTGAGTGTAAACAGTTTAGTGCTTGAATGAGTGTTTACGTGAAGTGATCGTCGTTTTACCTGTCTTTTTGAGAATACACTAAACAAAAACACTTCATTTTCGATTTTTCTATGTGTTACATCGCAATTGTCGTAATTAAAATTTCGTGCGTGCTTTGAATTCACATCTGTGCCATATTCACGCTGAGTGTACTTGTTTTTTTTTGGGTTCGAAGAAAGGTCTCACTGACAACAAATAGGGCGTTCTAATCGTGTAATTGGAAGCAATTTCGGCCAGACAATATTACAGGTAAAACAATGTTTGCGAAAAAAAAATTAAGAATGTTATTAAAATATTCGGCGAGAAAATTGAATTGAATAGGAATTCAATGAGAAAATGGAATTTTGACTGAAATTCATCGAGAAAATACAATTGAACTGCAGTTTGGAACATGGAATTCGGCGAAAAAAATGAAATCAACCCGAAACTCAGGCGAAAAAGCCGAAAAAATATTTGCAAAGCGCAACTCTGTTGGAATTATGAATTTCAAAAGAAACTACGGCCGTTTGCGCGCAACTGTGCGAGAACCACCAAATTGGTTGACATGCAAAATGGAAAGTTTCGCAAATTCATACCAAAAAAAAATAAATTTGAAATGAGGTTGTGTGTTGGGTACACGATTTAAGCGTTGTTTTTTTTTTCTTCTCTTTGTTGACACCAATTTCACTGACAGTTCAAATGGAATGCATAGAGCAAAAGAGAGTGAGAAAAGAGTCATACGATCAGATCAGCTGCTTTGTGCAAGCAATAAACGAGCAACTCTCTGTGCAAAACAACAACAGCACCAGCAGCAAACAAAAAAAGCAATTTTGTTCAATTGTAAATATTTTGTTAGGACAAACGTTTCAATTAATGTCGCCCGCATTTGTGCTGTTGCACGCAATGGAGAAGAAAGAAACTTCAGTGGAAAAAAACACAGATCGTTCAATTCTCAGCGTTGAAATGTTGATGAAAACGGAATTGCACGGTGAACAATGAAATTTTTTTCGTGGAGATTCAATAAATTATCTCAGGGCGTAGTATTTCTTCGTTTTTTTTTTTATCAGCGCACATCGTTGCTGTCATCCATTTTGGAAAAACAAAGCGCGATAAACGATCGTTTCAATGTTATCGAAGCACTGAGGTGCTGATAGGATTTTTTGTTCGCCTTAATTGATTTTTGCCATCAATCACACTGATATGCCGTTATTTTACTTTATTTCTTTCCGCAGAACGGTGTCGGTAGCGAGCGCACACGGCCACGGAATTTGCGTATAAATGATTTTGCAATTGAGTTCATAGATTTTTGAATCCGATACAATGAAGTTACTTTGGGGTATTTTAGTGCTATTTGCAACGGGCAAATACGTACAGGGTGTGGATGATAATCAAACGGTGAGTTGGATGAGTGATCAATGGGTGATTTTCATTGAGAAAACCGACTTTATCATCATTTCATCGAGAAAATCAAAGACTTTTACCAAAAACGAATTTTATTCGAAGCGAAAACATTTTATGAATGTGTTTCTTTGGATTCCGTATCAATAAGGTTTCAATTTCATTCGATGTGTTTGTTCGGCCTTTTTTTCAGGTGGTTAAACAAGACATTTGTCAAATTTGTGATTGCAATGTAAAGGAGAAATTTCTGAATTGTGCCAATGAAAATTTGTACAAATTATTCAATGTCAAAGACTGGGACACGGTTATTTCGGCCAACAAATCGGCTGCACTAGCTAATGTCGAGTATGTACAACTACTCTATCTGTTTTTTTTTTTTTTTATCAAGCGATTTGTCACCAATGAATCATTTTTCCTTCCAGTTTCGATAACAATGGTATTGAAATTGTGACGCAATTCCCAACTCTGGAGATTCATACATTGAGTCTACGTCGAAATAAAATTCGGAAAATTGAAAAGCGAGCATTTTACAATTTGACATTATTGGAAAAACTCGATTTGTCCGACAATAAACTGACGCATGCTGCAATGCAAAGAGACGTATTTGAAGGTCATTACAATCAACAGGAATTAGAACCGCTCATCAATCTCAAGTGGTTGAGTCTTGCTGGTAACGATTTGCACACTCTTGATCCCGATTTGTTTGATCATTTGCCCAATTTGGAAACGCTGCTCTTGTGCCATAATCAATTCGCCATCATGGATGCGAACAGTGCTGGTGCCATTTCAAGTATTCCCCACCTTAAGGTATTGGATTTGAGCTTCATGGAATTGAGGAAAATTCCAGAAACAACACTACATGGACCACGCGAATTGAAAGTACTCAATTTGACCGGCAATTTATTTACCGAAATACCAGATGATATTCGATTAGCCCGAAATTTGGTGGAACTTGTTATGGACGATGTTCCCATTGTACACATTGGTGGCAAGTAAGTTAACGTATTTTTGCACTTTTTGAAAAGAAAAGATTTTGGCGGTGACATGTAACGTATTCGCTCGCACCAATGACAGTCTAATAGTAATAACAGCTAGTCTGTCAACGAGTACGTGCAATGACAGCATGTTAGTGCGAGAGGGACACCGGCAATATTTTGCAAAAGTCTTGGGCGTTCTTTGATAACTTTGGAAATTGCGTCGATTTTTTTTTTAGTTTTTATTTGGTTTTCAAAAAATGGTCGATCATTTACACCGTCATCATGGCCCCAAAAACGAATTAATAAGGCCAAAAGGCCCTTAAATTGAACAAATCAAAAATATTTCTTCAATTCAATTAATCATCTTTCCGTTTGTCCATTTTTACACCGTAAAAACAGTTACAGTCGATTCCCTCGTCTGCCGAAATTGGAAACGCTGAGCCTATCATTTATGAGCCGATTGGTGTCGATCGAAGAAGGTGCCTTCGAAAATTTGCCAGCATTACGTCATCTCTCCATTCGCAGTAACATGCATTTCAGTTCAATTCATCCACATGCCTTTGCCAATCCAGATGTTGAATTACAACCGCACGTTGAATGGCCACCACTTCAAAGTGTGAGTAAAAGATTCTTACGAATAAGCAGCCAAATCACTCTATTGGCTAAATTAAAACCATTCGCAATCGATCATTTTGTGATCAGAAAAATGCCGCCTTTATCTGTTCGAGAAAGATATCGATAAGCGTCAACCATTCCATTCGAGAAGGAGTGAAGTGTGACATGAAATGGCGAAATAAATTCTTCATATTATTATTCATGTGAATCATGGTGATTCAACGTATTGATAACCTTTTCATTCAATGATTACTATAATTTTGTAGTTGAAATGGATTTCTATTCTAATGAATTGAAATTATTCTATGTTTCTTCTTGCTTTTTGATATGACACACTAACGGATTTATTTGATATTACAGCTAATTTTGTATAACAACAATTTGTCGACAATCAGTGAAAAATTGCTGGAACGATGGGACGATATTGAAGAGATTGACATTCGTTATAATCCATGGAAATGTGCATGCGAAAATCAATGGATGGTCGACAAATTAGTGCCAATAATTAAAAATAAATCAAAAAACCCATCGATGTCTGAAGATGTGAAGTAAGTTGAGCATGTTTAAAATGGGATTTATTCATGCATGTATTTCATAAACTTTCCATTGAACTATGATTTGATGATTGGAACTTTCCATCGAAGTTTGATGCGAGCTAGCATTCCGTTCATAACTGAGATAAACATAATCCGGATTTTAACTGAAAATTTAATTTAAATAAATTCGATTGTGATTTTATTAGATGCGATCATCCAGTTGAAATGAAGGGTCGATCATTCACAGACATGAGTCTTAAACACGTCGGAATGAGATGCGAAGACTATTATGGACGTCATCCAGAACGGGATGGACCAATACTTGTTGGCGTTTTCATTGGTGAGTCATCCAACCATTCTTCAATGATTTTTCTACATTTGATCAGGAAGAATCACATTGAATCAATCCTTGGAATGGAGAGAAACGTTGAAATTCCATTGTTTCAAGAACAATTTTGTCGTGATTTTTCCGATTCTCTTCCATTTTGGATCATTTTTCTGCTATTTCTTCATATTTGGTATTTCGATGTATTTTTTTCATTTAAATTGATTTTATGAATTCAAGGTGTCACATTTGGCCGATTTTTCAATCGATTTCTTGTATTTTTTTCGATTTTTCCCGTTTTTCTTTCTTTTTTGCATTTTTTTATTGAGATTTCTTGTCGAATTGCTGAAATTTGTCTAAAATCCAATTCATTTTAACACCCAATTCAAGTAACTGATCATTCTGTGTCTATTTCCCGTTTTAGGATTGATGGTTGGTATTCCAGTGACGATGGCTGCGTTGTTCGTGTATCGACGTGGATGCTTCGGTATCTTTGGCTACCGTCCTAGTCCAGCTGACTATGGCAGAGCCTTCTACAAGCGAACAGAACTTCGAGAGAATTTACACATTTGAACAAATGCCTAGCCATTCATTCGGCTTAGGCTAACTAGCCAATGTTCAATTTTCATATAAGAAACGATTTTTTTTTACCAAAAATTCCAACCAAATACACACTTTTACATTTTTATGTGCATTTAGATTATGATTATGATTATGATTTCACACCTTAGCTAAATACAATATACATGAGTCAGTGACTCTTTTTGTTTTATTCAATTTGGATGACTGGAGATCAGATTGTTGAATGAATGTTCAATGACCATTGATCATTTTGGTTGAATTTTTGCTCAATGAGATGGGTATTTCATGATCATTTTTCAATTTCCTTGTGCTCTTCTCACCAACAAATGAAGAACATGAAGAATTTGTACTTAATTACATTTCATGCAAATCTCACTGATTTTTGTTCGTTTTTTTTTTTTTTGGAAAGTGACATTACACCAATCGGCTGTGTTCAAAATGGACATTTTTTGAAGGTAAATCAACCTTTCTCACACAATTCAAACATTTTCTGGAGGAGTTGTCATATAAGTGAAATATATTTAGTCAAAATGATTTTTAAAACTGTGTCAATGAAACCTGATGCAAGTACAGCATATGGTGTGATGAAATACAGCAAAAGGCGACTACTGAAGCCTACACTCTTTCTGTAATTTAATTTGAAAAGGTTGATTGACATAAACATCTAAGGAAAATGAGTCTAGTTTAGGTCAAAAACCGAGATACTTTCGAATTTATATGAAAAGAGGCTTGTCACTCTACTCTACAAGCCTCTTTTCACATAAATTCGGAAGAATCTCTGATTCAGACTCTGTTCTGATTTGCATCGCTTCAATTTTTTTTCTTTTGATGTGCGTCTTTTTTCAACTGAACTGCACTCACGACGGGTGAAATTTGCAAAATTTCACAAAGATAATCCTGATGCAACTTTCCAAAGAATTAATTTGAACAAGGTGAAGAAAACGTTTAGTTTCAAAATCGAACCGATTCGAATTATTCGTCTGTTCAATAAGTTGCTTGGCAGCAGCAAGTGGAAGACGGTATAAATATGTGCAGCCGTTTTCATTTTGGATTTTATTGGTAGTAATTTCTGCAGAAACATGCTGAATTTCATGTCAAGCTGTTAAAAATGCATTTTCCAATGAAAATTCCATGAAATGACTTGATACACAGCATTGGATTTTCAATGTCATAGGCATTTATTTATTTATTGTTTATTTGATTCGGTATAAGATTTTACAATCATTACACATGCTGCCCATAGGGCCAATTGGGTTATACATTTTTCTTAATTCTAGTGTTTCAGTGAATTATTGCTTTATTTTTATTTATTAAATAAATTTGAACTATAAAGTTCTTTAAAATCTATATAATCACTCGTATTTCATCTGGAATTTCATTCCACAAATCAGGAGTACCAATATAAAAAGAAGTTTTCTGGCAATTATTCTTTGGTTTTTGTACTATTAGCTTATTTTGAGATCTAGTGTTATTAGAGTTAATTGTAATTAAATCACAAAGGTAACGAGGAGCTTCACCGTTTATTATTTTATGTATCATACAAGCGGTGTGAAACGTGCGTCGATCAAAAAGTTTTAAAAGTTTTAATGATTCTCTGTGAGGGGTAATGTGATCTCTTCTGCAGACATTTGATATATATCTTATACAAATGTTTTGAAGCAATTCCAATTTTTCACTCTCACCATTTGTCCCATGTATTCCGTAGTTGTGGTAGACTATGTCCATCTAATCAAATATTGGCAAGATTAGAGATTTATAAAGTTGCAATTTAATATTTTGTGGAATTATTGATTTTAAAGGATTAATTGTATTAATTGCCCCATATACTTTTTTCTGCACAACCTTGATATGATCTTCGCTAGTTAATGTACGATTTAATTGGTAACCGAGATCACGAACATTATCAACGTACTCAATTAATTGGTCATTTATCATTATGCTTGGTATTTGGTCATATTTTATTTTATGAAGATTATTTTTTGAGGAAATGATCAAAGCATACGACTTGTTCGGATTGATATCAATTCCGTAATCCCGACAAAATGCTTCAATGCTTTTCAAGTCTTCATTGATTTTCGATGTTTTTTGAAATTAATTAGTTTTTTTTTTGTCATTGTTGCAGGGATTCGCAAGAGATTCTCTTAAATATTCCGAAAGTGTTTCGTAAAATTATATCTGGCAAAATGAATGAAAACTGCTGAAAAAATCATTTTCGGCTTCCATTTGCGTTTGTTTACCATCCGTTTGTACATTCGTTTAGTTAATGTCGATGATTTCTCTATTATCTGCGCTAGTAATATTGCCAAATAAATAAAATCCATCGCCCGTTGAAAGTAGTTAAAATTCTCCATTCACGTTTTTTTCGCTGTTTTTTCTCCGTTTTGTTTTGTCTAAAATAAATAAAAAAATATGTTTTCATTAGCCGAGTAAATGTGAGTGTAACAAGTGAACGATGTACTTTGAACGTGTGATGTTTTCTCTGGTGATTTCAATTGGCTATTGAATTGTGTGTTGTTACTCACACGGAATGCCACATTTTTCAACTGTTTTTTTTTGCATATTTTCGACAGGCCACACAAAAACTTCATTCAAACAGAAAGAAAAAAAAAACAAAAATTGAATGAAACAGTGGTTATGTGGTATGACAATTTCGTTGAATTGCTATTGTTCGCAGTGTTTGCCGTTGGTGTAAATTATCATCAAAATGTGTGTGTGTGTGTGTTTTCGGTTGAAAATGATAAATCTTTTGGGTTATAGAAATTAAAAATCGTTGTCTATGTTATATATGTGTTTTATGACGCAAAATGTGATGTAATGCCATTTAATGAGTCGTACAAACAGCGTCAATGGATATGAAACAAAATGGTTTTCGCACTAATGTTTTGCGTTTGTTTCGTTGGTTTTTTATTTCCTCCTATTTTTCAAAAATGATTACTATGTATCAATGGCAACGAACAATTCATTAGAAAAGGTCACAGTGTCTCAAATTACTTGCTGTACGAGAGATCGACGCCGTCGTAGCATCAACAGCAGCAATTTCCGGCAAAACACACACTATTTATCTTTTTGCCAGACTTTATTACTGGGTACCCTATCTTCATAGGCTCAGAGTCGACTTTTTTTTAAATGCTTTTCTGGTGCTGAACTGAGAAAAAAAAGACGAAAGAAAATAAACAATGGATACATCTGCAGCTAATTAACGTGCATTAAACTGTTTCGGTTTTCTTACATGGAAAATGCGTTGTTTTTTTTATTTTATCGATCGTACAATTGCTATCTTTCAATTTTCCTTCGCTATGTCTCGATCTTGTTCAGTCGCTGTCTTTCGCTATCAGGCTATCTTATTCGATCACCGTCTTTCTCTCCCTCCCTCTCTCTTTCTATCTCTCACCGCATCTCTCTGTCTTTGTCTCTGTCAGCCTGTCTTGAATTTCTCGTTCAATCAGTGTCTTGCTCCCTCATCCTCTTGATCCGACTCTCTTATTCTACCTCTATTGCTCCGTTTCTCTTACTCTGTCTCCCTTGTTTTGTCCATCATATTCTTTTGCTCGATTTCGTTAACCAACGTCAAACGGTGTATTTTTCACTCGCGTTTTGGTGGTTTGATGTCAAGTGTCAAGTCAAGCTCAAAAACTGCGATGAGAAATGGCTGAGTGCTGATTTGGGACGGCGTAGTTGTGGTGTGTTTGTGCAGAAAATGGTATGAATTTACTTTGTAATCGGATCATGGTCATACAAAAAATCGATACGAACACATACAACAAGCAAAAAAGCAATTTTCGTCAAAGAAATATTGTTTTGACATGAAATGAATAACATTGTTGCTTACAGAAATACTGAAGATCGACGTGAAAACCATAGCCGTTGTCTAACTGAGACAGTCTAGCTAATTTTAGCTCTGTAACTAACATTAGCATTCAATGGGCTAAAAACGTTTACGATTTTTTTGATCGAATGTGTTATACAAAAGACTTTGTTCTCTCTCTCGTTCTCCCTCTCTATCTCTCTAGCTTTTTCTCTCGATCGCTCTTTCGCGCTGATTCGCTCCCCGTTTCTCTCTCTTTCTTTCGATCGCTCGCCTGCTCTATCAAAATTTGTACAAAGATATCCGAAGCTAAAACAACGGCCAAACGTAATGCAAATGGCATCCAACTGAGATTGAAAATGGTTATTTCGTTTAATTTGTTTGTACTAGTAAATGGGATGTTCGGGCCATAATCGCGGTAATTATCGTTGAATTGAGAATGTATGCGAGCGAGCCAAAGAGAGAGAGAGAGAGAGAGAGAGAGAGAGGCATACGTGTGTGTATTCTGCCCATTATAATGATATCAATTGCCCGCGAGTCGAATTTTTTTTTCGAGAATTCTTAATTGACCGCTTTTTTGCTATTTGCAAATAACTTTTTGTGCTGTGTACACTGTACACACTACACAATTGATTTTGTGCACAAACGAATTCTGCTTCATCATTTTGTTTTATTTTATTTCCATTAAACATGATCATTAGTATGATTAGCTATCGTCATTCATATTTTCGATTACTTTTGCTTTTTCGTCGCTTCCATTTCAATGAATCTTTTTCACTCGCACCAACCACGATTTGTATATGAGACAAAAGTGCAACTAAGTGTGTTTAAGTGCGCTGATCTGTCGTTGATATTTATAGTTCTTTTGTTTCATGATCAATTTGTCAATGGCAGGCCTTGGTTCAAGTGGCGAATAAAAATAGAATCAAAGTGATTTGCATCATTTAACATTTGAGGAGATGAGACGGAAAAGTGAGAGAATGGGGCAGAAAATGGGGGGAAAAAACGATTAAAAATGCTTGAAGAGAGGTAAAAATTAGAAGCAAGAGATGAAAAATCAGGAAAATGAGAGAGAAATACCGCAAAATGAAGAAAAGAGAGAAAAAGTGAAAAGAAAGGAGCAGATGAAGAAGAGAGAAGAATGTCTTCACATAGATTTATTCAAATAAATTAAAAATATCAAATAAATTTAACAATATTTTTCATGCGTTGCGTTGTTATAACGCTTCTGCAATACAAAGTTCAAATTCTCTTCTGGGTGCCAAGACAATTTTGCTGAATTCGGCTGGGATCAGCCTCAAATTTGACTTGGCAGGGAATATGAATTTTGTACTGCGAATGCGTTAAAACATCGTAACGCATGAAAAATTA